GCCAGCACATTAATGCTCAGAGCTGCGCCCTTCCGCTCCCATCGCCTGCGCTGCCCCATCAGCAGTAACAGTCTGATTAATTCGCTTCCAGCAGGGAGCTGATGGGGCCAATGATGGAGCCGCTGCATCAGGCGCGCTGAAATTGATAGTTTTTCACAGTTACAAATGAGGAGCCTCCTCAGCTGCAAATGGCGCCCGCACAGTCGGACTCCGGTAATGATCATAAAGAGGCTCTCTTTAAACTGCAAAAGCCCCTGGGACCGAGCGGGGGGGCGGCTGCTGCGCTAATGAGAACTACAAGGGGCGAGCAGGCATGGAAATGGCTCCTCCACTCTTGATGTGCATTTAACTGCTTTTTTAGTGCGGCGGCAGAGCCAGGAACGAAGGAGTGATGAATGCAGCACAAAAGCATTTATTTTCCAATTCGGCAAAGTGGCTACGTTGGGAAATGTATGAATTATTTTAATTCACTCAACTGTCCTGAAACATCACAGAGAGCGAGTGAGCGTGGGGGGAGGGGGCGGGCTGCGCTCAGTGTGCGCTCCAGAGACAGGAATTACTCCTATTTGTTCAACTGCCCCAAAATCTGGGCGCTGGCGGTGCTGACGAGGAGCAGAGCTGGGGGAAGGCAATGGTTACTCCTGGCACGGTGAGCCGGGAGGGGGCAGGCAGAGGAGCTGGGTCAGAACAGTCCCGCCACAGAGCAGCACCCCGTGGCTGGAGGGGGGCTGCTGCACTGTGCCCGGCCGGAGAGCTTCTCCCCTGGGGTTTGAACACCACCAGCTGACCCCCACGAAGGCGGACAGTCCCAGTGGGGCCCAAAGGCTGTGTCCGACACCCATGAGCAAACGCTGGACTTGCAGCCAGAGGGCAGCGCTCAGGTCTGCTCCATCTCCAGACTGACCCTCCCCATCCGCTGCAGCCGGGGGGCGGGGGGCCAGGGGTGCTACTTACAGGGGTTGGGGCAGCTGCCGGGGATAGCCACCGCCTCGTTCCACTGGTCTGCGCTGGAGACGGAGTAGGAGCGCTGGTGCATGCCGTCTGGCTTCGAGCTGAAGCCCACCAGGTTGATGCCGCTGATGGAGCGCTCCGAGTGCAGGGAGGTGCTGCTGGTTGAGTGGGGAGCACCTGCAAGAGAGACCGGGGTTCAGCGCAGCCCAGCTGCTGCTCTGAGGCACGGTGGACGAAGGCAAAGCTGCCCTGTAGCTGGTGTGACATGCCCCGGGCGGCCCTGTGTGAGGACAGGGTCTGTTTGCCTCCCCTCCCCTCCCCCAGGGAGTGCCAGTGCCTCACCCCCGAGGGCGCCGGGAAAGGAGCGCTGCCCAGCACCCACCAGTGCTCAGAGGGACACCCAGCCCCATGCATTTCAACACAGCACCCCGGGATGCGTAGCTGGGCATGCCAGCACGTAGCTTCCCCCTCCAGCCAGATTTTACAGCTGGAGTCCAAGGTCTGCTCACAATCTTCACCATAGCCCCAGGCAGCTGGACCAACACAAACCCCCCTGGCAGCCAGTGCGCCCATCCTCGGACTCCTTGGCTGTCCCCAGCCAGAAACACAACCATGTTGGAGGCACTAGGAGTGAATGGAAAACCACAGGGGGGACGTCAAAGGGACAAGCAGGGGAACAGATGACTCTCAGGTGGGGATCGTGAGTGGAAATCCTCCTCCCACCAGCTGGAAACCCCTTGAGCTGAGCCCAGACCATGAACCTCCCAGGAAAGGAGTGGCTTTGGGACCAGGGGCTGTCACAGAAGACAAGATCATTCAAAGATTCAAGATGGGTCAAACATTTCCAGACTACAAGAATATCCAAAATCTCCAGAACCGTAAACAGAGCAGCTCTGCGGGAGCACAAACCGCGCTTTGGAAGGCTGCAGGCAATCTGCTGCGGAGGGCGACGCTGCCCTGGGGGGATTGCCCTACACCTGCCCTTGCGAGCACCTCCCGGCTCCTTCCCCCAGGGCACTCAGCTCCAGCCACCGCACAGCAGGGACTCTGGGAGCACGGGGGCACACAAAGGGTCCCCTTCCCTACCCTGAAGCTGCCTCTCCTCCTTCCCTGCCCCAAGGCGCAGGTGCTGGGCTGGGACTCCCACCTCAGCCCTTCTGGCCATCGATGAGGGCAGGGTCCGTGGAACGGCTCCGGCCGCGGCGCGCCTGGCTGGTGAGAGGCACAGGCACAGCCTGACCCGTCTGCCTGCCCCAGCGCCGCCAGAGCCCAACACCCCACGGCCACACCAAGAGCCAGGCTCCAAGGAAGCCAGCAGCTTGTTCCATGGGGCCGGTGCGTAAGCAGGGTCCTTCCACAGCGGCAGGATGGAGAGCAGACAGACATGTGCAGGAGCGGCCCCAGCTCACCTGCCGGCGTCAAACCAGCCTCTCGCAGAACCCCAGCGCGGCTGAGGCTGGAGGGCACCTCCGGAGGTCACCCTGCCCAGTCCCTGCTCAAGCAGGGCCACCCAGAGCCAGTGCCCCAGACCTGGACGGGTGTGGAGTACGCCCAAGGCAGGAGACGGCACAACCTGGCTGGGCAACCTCTTCCAGGGCTCGGCCACCCTCCACAAAGAGCAGAGCCCCACATGGTCCCATGCAGAGCCCCAGATTTCGTACAAGTTAGGTTTCTGTCCCTCTTGTGAGTTGAATGTCACTGGTGCCTGCGCGCTGCCTGAGCTCAAGAAGCCCAAATCCCCCCCCCAAGGGGGATCCAAGGCGCTTGCTGACCAGAGGGTGACGTGGGCCATCAGCCCTGCACGGGGTACGCCTGCTGTCCACAAGCACTGCAAGCTAGCATGGTGCATGCCTCCCACCCTCCTCTTCGCCGTACCCCGCCCCCTGGAGCAGTGCTGCGGGGTCTCCTCTGCCTCCCCCCTGGCTGCCGCACGCTCCCCCTCCCTCCCCTTGTTCAGCGCCACAGAAACACGTGTAAAACCATGACACTGACTTTGCCTCTAATTAGCCCTTAATTTACAAGACACACTCGGAAGGGTAATTAGCTGGCGCTCCGCTCCTGACTGCCGCATCCATCTCCTCTCGCCTCCTCGTGGGAGGGAGCCTGCTGCCGCTGGAGCAGGGACAACGCTGCTCTCCTGGGACCGGGAATTGCTGGTCCTGGGAACGTCGCTGCTGGGCTGGGACAGGGTGGCCCCAGAGCTGTGGCGGTGCCTGCCGGCCCCACGCCAGGCTGCACAGGCTGCATGTGTCCTGCTGCCGCATCCATGCAGGGGCGGGCGGCAAGCAGGAGCGCAGCATGCCTGAGGGAAGCTCCTCCAGCGGAGGGGAAAGTCCTGCAGAGCCCCAGGGTGCCCAGGTCTGCGCCCTGCACCCCTGCCCCCGCTATGCTGGGAGCCCCAACCGGGAGACACGTGCCCTTCCATCGCTCCTTTGAGGAGCAGTGTGGGCTGCCACAAACGCCCAAGTGCCCCAGCCCTGGCCAGAGCCAGGGACACGCTGCTCTGCCATAGCCAAGGCACCCTCCAAACCTGCCCCCAGCGCCGGATCTCCTCAGTTTTACGGCACCGCGAGGTGAATGAGGCTGGGAAAGGGAGGCTGCTGTGGTCAGACTCGCAGAGCAGCAGCCCCTGGCGAGCGTGTGCAGAAGGCGACATGCCTGGGACAGCCACCAGCACGTGCTCGGAGCCCACACCCCCGAATGCAACGCCTGCCTTGCCAGCAGCACGTGCCATGAGGAAGCGGTGCCAATTGGAAAATTTCATTTTGAAATGCAACGGTGCTGCTATGACTTCCATGAAGGGCTTCTATCAGCCTCTGCAGCCCCGCCGGGAGCTCCCTGCCCTTCCCACCCGCTGCCTGGAGTCACCCGGCCGCCGGGAAACGTCCTGACAGCCCGGCCATGCGCTTGGCTCACGGACCTCTCCGCTACACCGCTCCGGCCCATCCCAGGGATCCGCAAGGTGTCCCAACAAGGCTCAAGCCCTCAGGAATTGCATCCCTTTGGGAGTGACCCCCCCGCCAGTGGCTGGGTGTGTTCCCTCTACATTAGGCAAGCAGAGCAGAAGGCGAGTGCAAGGCTGCACATAAAACACTGCCTGCCTGAGCCAGAGCCTCCAGGACACCCCCTGAGCCCGCCTATGCCCTGCAAGCAAAGCTCTCCCCATCACTGTTTCCTCAAGACCCAAAAAGGGATCTGTGCAGACATGCTGGTGCGACCTCGCCAGCAGGCTGGGCCTCATGACGCCTTTTTAAGTAAAGCCTGACTGATGACGTGGCAGCAAATGGAAAATGACCTACCAAGAGAGCATCATTTTTCTACGTGTGGACTGCAGCAGCCTGGCCACTGCAGTAAAATGCTTGGATTGAAGCAAGCGGGAAATTCTGCGTGACGGTGCGGATGCACAGGGAGCCGGATAAAGGTGGAGTTAGCAGAAAGGGGTATGGCCAGTTGGGACAGAGACCATCCGTGGAGTCGCTTGGGGATCTTTACACAGATTTTTGGACAAATTTAATACTGTCAACAGCAATTTGGCAAAATAATAGATGGGTTCTGGTGAAATTTCCTGGTGACATGAAGTCTGAAGCACTGCCAGTATTCTGGCGATGAAGATGTGCAGGACTAGGCGACCCTGAGAAGGGAGCTAACAAAACCACACCAACAGTCATTTAGGACAAAATGCAAAGACGTGCTCCGGAACTGGTGGGCCTGACTCAGAAAATCCTGGGAAAGCACACACTGTTTTCCATGGGATTTGGATTGCACCCTAATGACAAGACGGTTTGCTGGGGCTGGGGCTCCTGACTGGGAACACCAGAGGAGGAGGAAGGCTGCAAGTACTGCCCCGTCACAGCATCACCGAACCACACCGCCAACCGCGGCTGGGAAGCCCAATGTGAGCCCACGTGTGCTCAATGAGGTTGAGTCCAATGTGACCCCATGTGTGCAGGACGAGGTTGAGTCCAATGTGACCCCATGTGTGCAGGACGAGGTATGCTTTGCGTCACTGAGAAGCAGGTGCACTCTCTGCACAAGGCTGGTATGATACCTCCCCTAGATCCTCAAGCATAACCTACCCCCTGGAAAAAAACTAATTCAAGGTGGAAAGGGCACAGAACACAAAGGTGACTTTCCACTCCTACTGACCCTACTAGCCTACCCGCCACGTCCTGCAGCCGGCCACCCTGAACTACTGCAGATGGCCAGTAACAGCAACACAAAGTCTATGGGCATGATCAGTCACATACTTTTTTAGTAGGAGTAAACCAGAAATACCTACATCCTTGAGAGCTTCATTCAGGAAAGGACTACTTCCTTCTCTTGTCTGAGACAATAACCCGACCAGCACTGAAGAGACCAAGCTGTGCCACATCAGCTCTGCTGTCCACCACCAGCCTCTGGCACCTACTTCCGAGCAAGCTCCTGGTGAGGCCAGACGTCTCCTTGATGCACATCCTGGGTGCTGAGTGGACACGGAACAGGGACCCCTTCGGTGGCACAGAGGGGTGTGCGCTGTGCACCGGCCGTCGAAGGACAGGCACCGGTGGTTACGGTCCTGGGCCAACCTCTGCTGCGCTTGATGCTGCCAGCCCCGGCAGAGTGGTGTTTCGGCCTGAGAAAGGGACAGGCTCCCGAAGGCTCATCCTCCTTCAGCCAATGCACATGACAGGCTGCCAACACAAAGATGTCTTCACAGCCTCAGCCCCTGCCTGGCGGTAACCAAAGGGAGAGCGGTCTCTTGCTGTGTTTATTCAACATTAGATGCGGCCAACAGAGGAACAGCCAGATGGCAGCTCCGTCCTGCTCTGCCTGTGCCTCTGCACACCGGCTACGCTGCTGCAGCCAGGGTGGCCGGGCTGGACACGATCATCAGAAGTCATGCAGGACACGGTGAGCTGGTAGCAGAGGGAACTCTTTGAGAAGTTTGCAGCTCCCATGGGAACAGGAGGCGCAGAATTCTGAGCCTGCCGCTGCTGTCTGGAGCCAGCTCCGCTCTCGGTTCCTTCGCTGTAGCCGTGTTCTGGCACAATGTCGTTATTCATGGACGGGTCATTTTTGCCTGAGCAGGACACTGGGCCTTGTCCTGTGGAATTGGCATGGCCTCGATTCTTCAGGCTTCCATGGTTTCTCAGCTGCACTATCCCAACAGGCTCTTTATCCGTGTATGAAGGCACTGC